TTCCTCATAAGTTATTCTTATAGTGATTAAAAAATTATAAAAATACATAGGCACGATTTTTTTTACAAAGTAAATCGTCAGTAATTCGAAGTTGAAGGATAATATAATCGTAATAAGAAATTCTAGCCTTTAGGGACCGAAAAAAGTTGGAATGTTACAATATTTAGAATTTAAAATATTATTGGATACCTACCTAATAGATATTCGTAATATTTCCAATATACATCATTCAATTTACTATACCATTTTAAGGTCTGCGTTGTTTTGGCAGCGATTGTTGAAACTACGGTCACGGATTAATATTAATCCGTGACCACGGTTGAAACAAATACCGGGCTGTTGACTCAAACGGCCACACTGCGCGGACGGGCGGTAACTTACCGGTTACTTATTTTGTGGTAACATTATCAGCGAGCTGTTATCTCAAATTGTCTGGCCAATGGTAAGAACAGGTTGATAGTTTGATAATTGATACCTACTTGATTATTTATTTGCCTTGCGCGAGTTGTGCCCTAGTCCAAACGCTATCTTTTTAATAATTCTTATTTTCTTCTACTAACGCCCAACGTTGCTCAAATTGGTCTGCGTTATTCGTCTTTCACCCCAACGGCGATTCGGCATTAAACAAACATGAGTTGTCTGATGACGATCATCGCTCTGGCCACTACTTTGGGTGAGTACGGTTTGTTTTTCGGCGGACACGCCCAGGCAGACGATGTTCCTAGCCAAAACTCTTGTCTGTTGTTTTACAATCCCAGTGACCTAGTCATCCATTTTAGCAACTCATTGTGTTTGTTGTTTTCTAGCAAGTGTCCATAGCCACCAACTATATGTCCTCAACTGTCCAGAAAACGTCAAGATCGGGCAGTCGTCCATGCCGCTCCGTGCTACTGAGTTGGCTGATGTTGTATCATCAACATTGGGCTTCACTGTTTCGAATGGAGTAAGTTCACATCTTTAAATTTCTTAAAGTTACACTAGTTACACCACTTGGTTCACTGAGATTTCACCTACTTGTCACACTTTTGAATTCAGTATTTTATCATAGCCATGTCATTGTGGCTATTAATTGAATAAAAATAGTGATATGTAATTAGTTTCTTGTTAAAACATTAGCATTTATGTTGTTAAAATAATAATTTATGTATAAATAATAATGATTTTTCCCTCACAAAGTTATCTACAATAACTAAAATGACTTATAAAACCCTTACTTAACTTTGTGTAGTTATATCAATGCTGAAATAGATAGATGTTTTTATCATAGCTATAAAATAAAAATAAGTATCTGAATATTTCAAGTAGCTATTTAAATGCATTGTTTTTTTCAGTTTTTATAAGAAATAAAAAAGTGTATCAGATGATTGCCTGATATTAATCATGAATATTATTTTAAAATGTGTTCTATTAGGTAAAAACTTGGAGCAACTTAATGGTGGCAGATCCATTTTCATTACCTGAAGCTGTAATTGTCCTTGAAATACCAGGATCAAATAATCCCGGTTTTGACCTAAATAAAGTTGATCATCATGATTTAATCATGGATGAAACCTTAGATGAAGTGTATGCTACTGTGGAACATAGAATGAAGGAGAGACTCGACAATAAAGAATATAGCATTATGCATGGCTCCCTAACCAATGATGAATTTGTGAGATTAAATATTTAATTTGTAATTTTTACTATTGTTCGTTATCACTTAATAATTTTTAGCTGAAGAATCAAGTATTCCATCCTAATTTTCAACTGAATCCTAGTATTAAACCTCAACACATTGATTCATACAATGAAAAGTATAAAGTTTTTTTTAATGAAATTTACAACTTGCATCAATTAGGACAAGGTGTAAGTACAATTTGATATATTTATGCAGAGTTACAAAACAAATTGATTAATCTATTTAATGGGCCACTAAATCATCTTAAAAAGATGATTGTCAAACTATTGATTGTAGATAAAATGTTTGGCATTTGTTTACAAAACCCGACATTAATTTGTTTTAAAACATTTGTGTCCATATCCATTGCAGGTCAAAGAGAGTATGTTGAAAAATAATGTACCAGATTTACACTGGTTTCAATTGCAAGGTGTAAAAGCTTTGACTTCTATCAATGAACCTAATTCAGAAGAAACTATTGAAGGTGAAAAACTTTTGAATGAAGCTATATCTTCGTTGGTCCAATCATACAATGAAATTTACAATAATGAGGTATCTATTAACTTAAATCAATATACAGCATGTTAACTAATAGGAGTCAGTAACTCTAATTTGTGATAATAAAGAATACTAATCATTGAAATTTGATGTAATATTTTTACAGGATAAGTCTTTTAACCATGAAAATATAATAATAATCTAAACATATAAAAACAGAAACAAAAAATAATAATATAATTTAGGTACAATACTAGTTTTTGTTTAAATAAATTACACATATTGAGAAAGGTATAATAATAATAGTTTTAACTTGAAAATAAAAACAAAGCTTTCATTCTGATACAATCACAAAAATAAAAAAATAAATAATAATCATTACAAAAATTAGGTTGCATAAAGTAAGCGCTCTTGGTAAAAAAGAATTTGTACACATTTTTTTTCTTTTTTTTAAAAGGCACAAAAAATACATTTCAGCTTCTAATTGAATGAACTATAATACCAAGTTATTTTTAATTTTTAATTTTTTTATTGGATTAAAAGGCTTCAACATCACAGGTCATTAGCCTAAAAGTAATTATAAGTTAATAAATTTATGACCAAGTTATTTTGTATTTGTTTTTAAATATTGTTCAATATATTCAACTAAACTGCTTTGCATAATTTAATTGTTTTGGCCCTTTATCTTTTGATGAAATTAACGTATAGCTAGGAATATCTCACATATTTTTCAAATTGTTTTTATGACTAATATTGTTACAAGCATTATGGTCATATAAAATTGGCATATGCAGTTCATGATAGATATATTGAACAATTTAATGAAAAAAATAAAGAAATATTTCATAAAATTCCAACTAGTATTGCGTTTTTATTTCCCTATTGGATAGACATTAGTGATCAACATGACATGAAAAGCATACAAATTTAAAATATTATGATGTATTTTTAAAATTTAAATTCTTTTCATTCATTAAAAGATTAATAGCTTTTAAATTTTTGTTTTTGATCACGGTAAAAGGGAGACAAATTATCATATATATATATATATATCATATATATCATATCACTTATTAAATTATTTTTAAAAAAAAACTGTTCTTCAATATTATTGGCATTATATTTTGAATTGGAAGAAGTATTCGATTAATTAACATACTACATAATTATTATATATATAGATTTTACCAGATTTTACTTCTGGTTAAAATTGTTTAAACCTTTTTAGATAATAACATAATATAATTGTTATATATCTTAATGAAATGTTATTTAGGTGTTAATAATTGCTATTGCCAACAATGGAAAAGAATTGCATAGAAACAAACGTGAACTTAGTAGCTTGGAAATGGTAAAAACTGTTTTATAAACAACTATCTTTGATGTTAATTTTATTATATAATAATATATAATATATTATTATGCCTGTTTATTATTTTTAGGATCTCAATGTTGCTGAACCTGTATCAAATGACTTTCCAGTCATATTCAATCTCATACTGTGGTTTGTTGTTATATTTATCTTTTCCCTTTTAGCCATATCATGTGAGTATTATGTTTGGTTTCATTTTATTAATAGTGAATAAAATATTTTTAATATTAGTACTAAAATTCAAATTATTTAAAAAAAAAAGCATTATTTTATTAGACTTACATATTTAATAAGTTTTTAAATTCCTGATTAAATATTGATGTTTACAGTCCCTCTCAGTAGCCAAAAAAAAAACTTAATGATATATTCTATAAATTGTAAAATGGATTTTTTTACAGAGGTTTTAAGTTTTAAGTTAATGTTGGTTAACATTTTAAATTATGTACTATGGACAGAGCTACTGCAGATATTATCACATGAAATCTGACTTCTATATATCAGTATTCTTTTGTATATTTATTATTTATATCACTTAACCAGTGGTGATACAAATTTCTCATAGTAACAATAAGTTGTACAAATTATGTTCGTGAATGGGCGATATAAACTATACGCATGCATATTTGATCCAAATCCTCTGGGTTATGTTGGCTTCAAATATAAAGCAGTAGCTTTATCCATTGTATATGTTCACACTAAATAAACCTTTTGATTGTAAAAATTAACGTTTCATATATAAATTTGTAACTATTATATTTATTCAATTAGTTCTACTAATTTCTAGATTTTATAAGAAATTATGATTTATTTATTTTCCAGTTTTCCTCACGTGAATCTGTTTATTTCAGACATATTTCTATTAAATTTAAATCCATTCTTAGTTTAAATTAAAGGCATTAAAAGTTCATCAGTTTAACATCATTGAGATTTATCTATCCACTTCAGTATACCTAATCCATAAAGATAAATAATAAATATAGTTATTTAGTTTTATCATAATTATTTTATTGTGTTATAAATGTTATGATAATCTCTTTAGTCTTGTCTCCCTACCATTTAAAATTATCATAAGCTAAAAAATAATTATAATTTTTACCGTAAACGTGAACTATAATAGTTATAATAATTTATTTTATCAAATCATATGTATCTTATTGCTTTTAAAATATTAAATTATGGGTTTTTTTTTAAAGTTAAAATACATAATGTAACTTGATACAATTTACAAGTTACAAATTGTAGGTATCTAGTGTATCTAGTTACCATCATTAGTTATGTTTATATGGTAAATATTAGACTGTTTAGTATAATATTGTCATACATTTTTTATTTATATTATAATATTATACATTAATAGGAGTGTTGTAAAGTATCTTAGTGTTCTTTTAATTGGTATCTAATACTTTCATATAGTATAATAATAATATAATATTTGAGTACTATTCATATACATTGTAATATTTGTTTCTTTTTATAAAGAGTTTAATATCAGAAAATAAATTCTAGCAAAAATTTCAAGTATTCTTGTGCATCAAAAAAATCTATACAATTTTTTACTATAAAAATTATAACATAAGAAGACATTAAATGTTCAACATTTGTAACTAGTTATATTTTTAATTTGAAATTAACTTTGAATTTACATACTGACATTCATTTATGTTAATAAATGCTTGGATTAGTGGTGTATCTCAAGGTTAGGTTAGTTAAAACTAAATTTTAATACTAATATATATATATATAATTATTATACATATACATACTGAATATGATAAATCAAATTTCCGCTCTCTCTCTTTGAAAAAAATCTTAGATACATTACTAGCTTATATTATTAAAGTGAAAAAATATTCAATATTTTGTCTTACCATACTAGTTAATACCCTGATAATCGGTTGTATCAATTGTATGGAACTTATTTCTATTATAAAATTGGTGGATTTATAATTTAAGACAATAAAAATCATGTTTTATTTAACAATATAAACCAGTACTAAATTAAATTATTTTCTTAACGTTTATTTGGTTGAAAAACTGAAAAAATAATGAATTAAATATGTGCATATGATAAGTTTTTAAATGTATTAATTGTTAATACTAAACTATTTTGTTATAGTGAGCATTGCCCAAATGGATCCAGGTCGTGATTCTATCATCTACCGCATGACCAGCAATAGAATGAAGAAAGAAAACTAAATGTTCATTATATATTTATATGACTTAAAACAGTTAAAACTGAAATATCAGGCTGTATAAGTAATAGTCATGAATTATAAAAAACAACAACAAGAAAACTTAAATTTGGCCTAGACCTCCATTCCAATTGTATATAAGTGTTCATGTTGAACACAAATATTATTAATATGTACTAAGTTTTTGTTTTATTTAATTTAGCATATTGTTTTGAAACAAAAGTGTTTGGTATCTTAGCATTTCGTTATTTTATTAATGTAAATTAAAAGGTTATAAATTGTTTTAAATTTTTATGTTGTTTAATTATCCTTGGTATTTATAAGTTTTGGTAAGTAATGAGTATAATATACTGTTGTAGGCCTTTTCTTCTTATTGTTAATAATGACAAATTGTAATAACTTCTATGTTTTAAGTGAATTTTCCTATCTATTGTATATGTTTGGGTTAATACCTAACAAACTGTTATTAAAATAATTGATAAAACTGCTGGAAATACTTAATACTTATTAAAAGAGTCATATAAAAATTAAAGTAAGTGTTTTCTAATATTTATTAGAATATGAAAAAAAGTTAAAATATTAAATTATGTTGTAGTTAAGCGTTTTTCTTAGAAATTGCGTGACTGAAAGGGTGCGAGTTAAAATCGCGAAATGTTTTAACAGCCAAAACATTGATGGCGGAAAGTAAGAAATTATTTTTGTTAGTGGGTATATACCTTAATAATATAATAAGTAATAATAATAGTAGATAATAAATAAAGTGGATACTCTTAAAGAATTAGTCAATGACTATGAAAATAGGGTCAGACTTGAATACTTAAGACTGAAGAGGTGTTGCGTATAGGCTATAATTTATCATAATATTAAATTTAAATTTAATTGTGTATAGTATTTTGATTTTTATGGTATTTTAATGTTTATTATTACTTATTATATTATGAAAATTAAATTTATACCCACTAGCAAAAATAATTTCTTACTTTTCGCTATCAATGTTTTCACTGTTAAAACATTTTGTCGGTTTTTTTTTCGCGATATTCACATAGTCTCGACTTGAAAAGTTGAAAATACTGATTTATTGATACTCATAGTTTTCACTGCAAGTAAAATGTATTACAATTCTTTTGGCCTTTTTTTTCCGATTTAGAACCGTCAGCAGAGGAGGGTCTGTTTGCACAATAGGTACTACTCTGCTGCCTTCGTTTATTAATGAAATTCTTTTGTCCAAAAACGTTTCATTCTAAAATTATTGTATGCATAATTTATACCTTGCATACAAAACTTTTTATTACTTATAAGAAAGAAAATATGAGTAGATTTAACAGCAAAAAGTCACTAGGAACACCAGAAAACAACTGGTTTTTACGACTCTAACCAGTAACCACTGTCCACATTCAAACATAAAATACATCATTGTGGTTAGTTATTCGATACATTTACTTAACAACATTGGCTGTTGGTAATTTTTCAGTTAAATTTTATCTAAAGCAAAATACGATAACATATCTTGATGGTATTAATATCCACGTGACGCGAGCAAAAACATAATCATGGTTAAAAAAAATCAATTTGTTTGATTTGTCCATAAAATTTTAATTTATTAAAGTTTGTGCCGTTTGTGGAATAAAATCCATTAGCTACCCATAAATTAATTATTATAAATATAATAATATTTTATTATTATAAATATAATAATATTTTATTATTATAAATATAATAATATTTTATTATTATAAATGTAATAATATTGTATTATTATAGATTTAAAAACCTAATTCAATTGATTATTTATAATGGTAAAATTTACAACCAAAATAATGCACAATATTATTTTTTTAAGCTTGTTTAAGTGAGTTTTCCCTTAATATTTATTTGCATTTTTTTTTGTTATTTCAAAACTTTATATTTTTTAGCATAGGATTTTTATAAATGTTAAAATATTTACCATGTCTGGTCTTAAGTGGTTCTTACCTAGCTAAAGTTCTATTTATTTCTATAAAATTACACACAAAATGCATATTAAGTTTTCTAACCACGATGGTTCTATATATAATACACAATTATTTTTTAGTATTAGTCTTACAATAAATCTCATTCTCAATATAAAGAAAACGTACACTCGTCTGGGAAAGTAAAGGATCGGAAATCCACTAGGTATATCATTAAAAATGTATATTCTATTTGATACCATAAAATATACCCACAACCGGGATGTACCTAAATAGCCTATATATAACGCCGTGTAGCCATTAAAACCAAAAATGTAAGGAGAGTTTGTGATTTACACCACTATAGATAGTCGAAAATAATATTTGTAATTTAAAATTTTCATCAAATACCGAAAATAATTCTTATTGCATCATTTTTTCACGGATATCCACATATTATAAGGCTCTTAAAAGGTGCCAAAATTAATTTCATCATCATTCTGAGAAATTCTTCTAAGAAATCATTTTAGGTATATTGATTTTAATTTGTAGATTTATTTGCATCCCACAGGTTTATATTGAATGACACCATTACTGCACAGTATTGAAGAATGAAGATACACGAATTACTTCGTTCAACCCAACACGTGACAATAAGGTTGTAATTTAATAAATTGTTCATAGTATTGTATTTTCTGMATACCTATTATTATAAATCATCTCTGAGAGCGATATAAAATGCATAAAATATCCATTTTGTTTACTAATGATGAAACATTTAAACATCTCCAAAATTAAAAGTATTCATTTATAATGTGCATTCTGCATCATAATTATATAATGGTACAACCTTATTGTGCAGTGCTTGAATTGGAAGCTTGAATGAAGAACGCGTTTTTTTTTTTTAATTAGGTCTTACATAACGATTTACATATTTAAATGTATTTTTATCATTTTAACGAATTACTTCACATTTGATTGAAATTACTTAGTTATTTGAACCCTTAAAAATAAAAAATAAAAATTTTGGCTACGTATTTTCTATTGCTATAAGTAGAAAAACTTATTATTGTTATCCCAAAACTGGCGTTGTTGCTCGCTATAGTCACGGGTCACGAGTCGCTAATTGTTCAGTTGGGTTTCGTTAGGTTTGGTTAGGTTTGATCTAACCTAACCTAACAACGCTCGAGACATTTTCTGATATTATTATTTAGATAATTCGATTATGATAGCGCTATCTACTGGATTATCACTAAACATGATAAATTAAGGGAACTGAAATAATATATCATTTCTAAACGTTGTTACAACAAAATTTTTTGAATTACTAATTTTGTTTTATATATACAAATACAATTTAAAAAATCTGTAAATAAATGTACACTAAAAATTAACAAATTTGTAGTGAAATTTTCTAAAAACGACCAACAAAATATTATGTTTTCAATTCTCTGATGAATGAAACTGATTTTGTTGGTAACTGAAAAGCATTGGCGTGGGCTTCCTCAAAAATAATATTAAAATCCACTTGCTCTAGCTATAGGTGTTTAAAGTTAATAAGCTGAGAGGAATGAATCACGTTGGTCTGTTACGATTTACTAAGGTGTTCTAAATAAATGTCCTAAAAAAAAAAAAAAAATGTAAAAAATAATAAAACCAGGTTATTTTGTATGATGACATGATATGGTCAACTCCTTCTGTGTATAATATTGCATGGTAGCACAGTTACCCAGTCTTACCCTGATGGCTTCTAGATATTTTTCTACTGTACTATGTCCCAAACATAATAGCCATGATTTCACAATCGGTTTTCTTTTCAGAGGAAAAAAATCTAGGAGTATGCATAGTATATTACTAGTTTTATCAGCATATGATTATAATAATATTTTTATATACGAATGACGATGATATTTTTTTTGTCTGTACCGAACGAACGTTTTAAATTTGTATTTGTATTTTTGACAAGAATATTATTTTTTAGATTTTTATTCTCAATGTTGAATCGTATGGTCATGACTGGCTATTTATTTCTAGAAAATGTGACCAATCGTCCTGGTCGACATTTATAACATAAAGAAATGCATCCAAGATGTTTTTAGAAACAATAGAAACACATTTTCTGTTTAAAACATAGGTACTAGTAGTAGTTGAAACGCGTGTTTTCGTTTAAACTTAAAATTGTTTTGCATACATGTATAACATAGGTAATATATTACATATAATAGGTATACGATAGTCGATAATATGTATCTGAGTGATTTTTCGTGAGGTTTTCAGCGTCTTTGTTATTATAATTTACAAAAACATATTCATAGATTTTCTTATAGATGAAAAATATCGAGTTACATTAAACAATCGATTTGAAAAAAAAATATTTATTTATTTATTTATAAAAGTATAGCATATGTTATAATAATAGATAATTATATAATATTATTTAATGGTCGCGATAAATATATATATATATTTCATATATTATATGTGTTATTATTATAATATTATGACATACATATTTACACAATATTCACGACCAATTTGATTACATTTTTTTTTTTTATATATATTATTACATTATCTGTGCATGGCGTCTTAGGTCCAGACACAACTGAATATTAAGATATGCATTACTTGTGTTTACAAACACTATACATTTATAAATATAAACTATATCATTATTATTATTAATATTATTATAATGGTTTAGACTTATAGTTCTCTTAAACACAATATTATGTTATATATTGATACATAAATATTACATAATTATACTCTCGTATGATAATGCGTAGGTATTATTAGTTATTATCATCACGGTAATAATAATATACCTAACAACGACGATAATTAAAAGCTGGTATATTGTTATAGTTATATATTATATGCGATCGTTGTATACATAATATTGTTTTAAACGCTATAAAATAATATATATATATATGATATCTTTAAGACTATAATGTTATACATAAATATAATATTTACAAAGATAAAAAAAAAAAATAATAATGTACATGTTGTATGATGATAATAATAATATTATAAGTTATATAATTGTCGTGTTGGAAATATAAGATTTGTTATGATATTTCGGCGACTATAGTGTCCACTATACGACCGATTATCGTTGCTATCGTGAAGTCGTCGCACGTTTTAAAGCATCAATCCATAATAATATTATAACAACTATTGACAAAAATGGTTATTACGACATTATAATATATCATATTAATAATATAGTTCACAAAATGGATAAAAAATAATAATATTATTACAGTTGGCAGTTGTGGGATCGTAAGGTTAGGTTAGGTCTTTGGGTATTTGACGGAGCAGCCGCCGGCGCGCCTCATTCGCACAAAAATTATATCGAAAACGATTTTTTATTTTTTATTTCTTTTTTACAACTTTATAATATTAATACGATTATCATCTAATTCGAKCATTGCTCGTACGTCATTCGTCATACTGCTTACTACAGTAGATGTGCTTATAAATAAATAAAATAACTTAAACAGACGTTGTATTATCGTTTTGGAACTTCGTAAAATATGTTGTAAACGTCTGCGACCCGACCCGTGCTGCAAAATGTGGTGTATTGCGCCGTATTCTGCGCGCATGGTCGTGTGTCTGATATGAACATTTTACACATAGGTACACCTACACGTTATGTTTTATCATTTTTTTTTTTCTATAATTTTTTACGACCGGCTAAAAAATGCGTAATAATAATTTATTGTAATCGCGCAGGAAATGACACGATGGTCGTTTTCGTTTTGGCATACTTAAAACCACGAACCAGTTCGTGATATTTGATGATGATAATCATAAATATTAATTTTTGTAATTATTTTCCAATTACGTGTCATTATATGGTTATAACGTCAAGGAGGGGTGTTTGGTGTGTGGGGCGGGTGTGTTGGCATTTGGGTTGTCGGGAAATTATTGTTTAAGCTGGTGACGGGTGGCCCACAGCGTGGCCGGAGTGGCCCTACGAGCTGGCCATCTTGACGAACTCGGCGGCTTCGAACGCCGCTCCGTGCATGTACGGCCCCTGTGCGGACGGCGGGGCGCCGCACGACATCGCCTTCGCGTTGTTCATGGACCTGACCCGCAAGAACAGGAACGTGACCACCAGACAGGCGACCACCAACACGGACAGGAGCATGGCCAGACCGGCGACGAACGAAGGGACGCTGATGCACACGCTGTCTGCCGAGTGGCCGGTACGGGTGGACATGACGACCGTGTCGCCGTTACTGCCGGCGCCGTTGGTGCCGTTACCGCTGTTGGGCACGTTTAAGGCGAAGTTGACGTCACCGGGTGCGACCACCTGTATGACGCGGCTGGTGTTGACGTCCAGCTCGGGGTCGCCGGTGGACCGACGGTGCTGTCGGTGTGGCTTGGCCGCGGCGTCCATGTCGACGGACCGAGGACGGCCACCCAACGACACGAGGTTCATGTGCTGTTGTTGCTGTTGATCGTCACCACCGACCGTGCCCTGTCGCTTGACCGTAGCGTATGATGCACCGTGGCCGGGCAACGGAGGTGGTGGAAGGTTCAGACTGTCGTCGTCGTTGTGGGCGTCGTTTCGGTCGTCACCGGCCGCGGTTGCTGCGTCCACCTCCTTTTGCAACGGTTTCGGGCTGCTGGCTGACGGCGACGCCGCGTTCGGCAACACTATTTCCGGTTTCAGTTCAGAGTACGCACCAGCCGGTCCGGATGGGTGTCTGGGGTCCGGATACGCGGGATAATCGGCCAATTGTGGTGGCGGTGGAGGTCCGTACCCGTTGGGGTGTATCGAGTTGAGACCGGGGGACGCATAGTCTCCACCGTTGGCGTCGGCCGCATGCGGTGGCAGTGCGTAGTCGCCGGGGCACTTGGGTTCGGGGCAGTGGTACCGGCACACCTGGATGACGCACTGGAAGTGCACGTTCATCGAGTCGGGGAACTTGAACGCCTGGAAGTAAGTGAACGACACGACGGACGCGGACGGCCCGAAGTTCTTGATCTTCTGGAACTTGTACATGATCTTCGGCCGGATGACGCAACCGTTGTGGTCGACCAGCTGTATGGGCGTTCGCTTGCCGTCGTGAGCCACGCAGTTGCGCACCAGCATGTCGAACTTGTTCTCCTCGTCCTTGATGGCCAGGACCATGGTCATGGTCTGTCCGATTTTGACGATGCCCGACACCTCGGACGCCCACGGTCCCTTGCCCACCTGGATTTGCATCCAACACTGCAGGTTGTCGCCGAGGAAGTTGGCGGTGACCGCGTGCAGCATGTCAACCTGGAACGGTTGGAACGTGACCGCCTTCTCGTAGAAGTCGTACCACGTGCACCGCAACTTGCGCGCCTGATCCCACACCTCTTGCACGTACGGGTCGTACTGGATGATGATTGTGTTCTCCACGTAACTGCCGCTGGGCGTCTGCCCGTAACCGGAAACTGCCCCGCCGCTGGCACCGCCCGACGACGTCATGCCGCAGCTGTTCAACAGTATCTCGAACGTGGCGCTCAGGTGACCGGTGCCGGGTTTCACGTGCACGCAGTGAGGATCGCTGTAGTAACCTGCGAAAATGTTACGATTCATTTAGTCGACGTCTATAATATTTTATTGTTATTTTTATTAGTGTCGTCAGTGCGTCTTGCAAAGGTTATAAGCACTGTACGACGAATTATTATGAGAACAGTACAATATAATATCGGGCAAGTCTACGAAACATAATATTTTAT